ATCGGAGCTCCTCCAATCTTCCCCGTGGTTCATCAAAATCTATATTTAATAAGTAATTTTTTCATAAAGCTTCTCCTGAGCTTGTGCCTTACTGATAGGTGTTTGGAAAATTTTCGGATATCATCAACCCCTGTTTATCTGGGTCTGCTGTTCAGTTATTTTTTGCAAGATGTGATTAAAAGCTTATGCCCCTTGCTCTTGAATATTCTTGAAGAGCAAGTGTTGACTTAAACTCTTGGACATTCGATTGTTACCCTTGGGTCATTCGAAGATATCCACAAAAAATTATCACCATTCTTCGTATGCTCCTGTAAACCTGAAGTCAAGACCGAATCAAAATATAGGACTATGTTGAGAATAATTCTGCTGATTCATACATGATGGCAAATCTTGCTCCTTCGTAAATCGTTCCATTTCTACCAAAACAAAGCAAAGGGAATTTAGACAATAGGGCAGGTTATTTTGTGCCTGTTTTTTTCTTTACCCCTTTATTCTTCCCCTCCCACGTCGGGCTCTTCTTCGATTATCTTCTTTAACAGAGGTCTGCTGTATGGGTGAACTTTCTTCGTATTCAGATCATGCTCACTGATTCAACTTTATATCGTGTTGCCTAGTCTTTCCTCTTTGCTGACATTGTCAGTGCTTGGAGTATGATACTGATCTTCTCTTCAGACCTCCTTTCTTCATGGGCGAATTAACGGAATCTGTATAACAGAACAAAACGTGTGAGTGTGATTTCTGTCAGGGTAATCGCCTCAATCTGAGTCACGGGAACCGTAAAATTGTCATGTTTAACCTCAAGCTGTGGAAAACAGGTCCGCTCTGTGGGTCCATGTTCAGCGGTGAACGGGTGGCCAAGTTGTGCAGTTTGTTTCGGAATTCAAGTTCAAACTGGCCGTTGCTCCAGGCGTTGCCGGCAACCAATAACTTCCATGAAAATGGTCCGTAGGGTTTGAAACGAGCCACGCTGGCAGACCGTCTCGGAATGCTGCGGCGAGGCACATAGGCACATTTCAGCAGACATCAGTCTATCAAAACTGACGACTGCCATCTGAAAGCCTGGCCGTTTCAACAGGCCGTCGGTCGGCCGGCCGGCCGGCACTGAGGCATGATTTACACCTTTCATTCCAGTGCGAACAATGGCCAAGCGTCGTCCAAAGCTTGACTGCGCAGCATCAGCAAACACATTAACCGTTACTGCAATAATAGGCAATATCAATGGCCATTTCGGCGGCGGATTCTCTAATGTCCATCGTCGTTGGCCACCACTGAAAGCCACCACCGGCGTTCTTTGGCCACGGCAGTAGCCACGACGGCGATGACTAATCTCGTTGGTTCTGTTCCCCTTGAACTAAGAAACAAAACGATAATTGCTCCCTGCTCTCTTTTGCAAATTTGAAAAGGGACGAACAGCACAATTACGCTAGTGTGGATTTTCATCTTTTCGCGAACCCACATCGTGGACAATCAAGGAGCAGACCTACGGTGAAACAGTATGAGTGTGCTTGCACTACAACCTCGTCGGTTTCCTCAGGAAGAGCTGATATGAAATGACCTTGAGGAATAACGTATTTTGAAAATGAATTAATGGAAAGACATGTGGATTAATGAGTGTCATTCTGATTATTTATATTTTTTTCCTTTGTTCACCTCGTTTATTCAAAGGGACTGTGTCATCTTTCATTCTCACAACGTCACAAGGGCAATCGACTCCAAAAAAGTGAACAATCTTTCTAAAGATCTTCACATGATCTACGCCCTCTTCGAGGCATATGCTCGACAGACTTCGCTTTTTTCACTCCAAATATTTCCATTATGACTCAAATGTCACTAAAAGTTACTGAAACGGAAGGATGTGTAACTACGTGCAATTCGGTTCGTGAAATACCTCAATCTGTTAGCTACTTCAGCAGCTCGGTTTTTTAGTTATTTTCGCAAATCAACTGCCTCCTTCAAATTCTTATATCGGTCAAGGTAGCAAAATGAACAGACATGAAAAATATTTTAAAAAAACAACTGATCTAGTCGATATATGAATTATTTACTAGGTCATCAAGAAGTTTCGGCAATCTAAAGTACCCTTGCTTGTGAATCGCTTCTTTTCCAAACGGAAAGATCACAATTATAGTGATTATAACATCGGATCAACCTGGCAGAAAAAATTCCCCAAACCAACTGACAAATAGATGAGTCAATTATATTGAAAACCTGCGGATATCGCAAGTTGGATGCCAGTTTACTGAGATTATACGATTGGCCAGGACCTGATCGATTAGCACGGCATTCTCAAGCTGTTGCCTCAAAGATCAGAAAGTAAACATCAAAAATTAATGAATGAAAATTTCAGGCAGTTTAGTCACAAATTGATCGTTATCACGTAAGTACAAAGTTTTGACAGATTCAATGTACCATTAGACCGTTCTGCTCCAGAAGGATAAAAACAGTCTAGTCGAAAACACACAACTGAGCAGTAGTACAAGAATGAAGTACAGTCAAAACTTAATCACAGTTATATATATATTCTTAAATTATTCCCTTTCTTGTCTTTTTACTTTTTGGACCACTACTCTACAGATGTTGCTCTTCTGAAATGTGAAACATGAAAATGTCATATTAAAAAAACTGTTTGACATCGGCCAAATTCGTCGATATGTCACACTATCATTACCGTGAGATCCTTCGTTACAGACCTTGTATAAAAATTAAAGGATGTCACTGGAGAGTTCAATATTTATAATTTCATATTCTCATATTAATTTCTGCATTTGTTTATGTTTTAAAAGAAACAAACTGAAAAAAACTAGGCAGCCTTACAAAGCCAAAACAACTTTTCAAAAGATCTTTGAGATAATACATAAAAACGTCGAACTGCATATGAAACGGTTGCTGAAAGTTTGAATGGATATGTGTTCTGTGTTATATCTGTAGCAAGGTCTAAGTCAATCCCAACTGCGGAGGAAAAACTGCCATCGAAGTAAGTGCGGATAAACCAAACATTATGTAGTATTGCTTGCAAGAGGCTTCACCAGATTCATTATCTTTTAGCGCTATGAATATCCTACACTACACCAGTATTTTGAATTTAAATTCCTAGAAAAAGTTGATGCTCGTATCTACATTTTCATTTCAATCAGATCGGTTCATACCTTCCTCAGTGAAACGATGGCTTTTACTATAACCTGTAGCGGAAAATGCTGGCACTTATATTCATGCGATATAACGTTTGGGTTTTACTTAAGTATAAAAAATTCAAAGAAAACTTTAGGAAATGGTTTTTTGAATTCATGACGGACAAGAAAAAGAAATCTTCAATTCAGTGCTTGCTGGAACCCTATTAATCGATCGACAGACTTTAATAACAGACCTACGTTGTGAACAACACAGACTGTCATTCTTCAAAATATCTTCATGCGAATCAAAAGGCATTCGCCTGCAAGAAAGCTTTCGACTGCATCGACATAAGAGCCTTAACGTGTGCTTTGAATAAGCAGAAGAAAGAGAAGACTTGCATTGATCCAATCGGCAGCCTTTAATAATAAAGCGACATCCAATCCTCAGAGAACAGTGAATAAACCCAGACCGAGAAGTGTGATCATTAAAGTAACGTTATATGCTATGTCCTCGAAGCACTTCACGGTGGCTTTAAAAAAACAAAGACATATTTAAGAAACATTGCATTGGAAGCAAACATCGACCGCTCTAATGGTTCTAATGAAAGAAGTTAGAAGTCTGGTTGGGAAGCTCAGCAGAATACTGAAATAAACCGAAAACCGGTTTTATGCTTTCAAACAGCTCTTTCTTTCTATTATATGCCTACCATAATTAGCAACGTTATGTCCGATGTTCAAATTTTAAGCCAGTTAACAACGCTTGAATATAAGGGCTGTAAGGCCATTATTACCAAAGTAAGTGGCGTGAAATCTTCTGACCATCACCATGTACGTTGTGAGCAAAAGACGGCAATCTATAAGCGAGGACAACGAAGAATTTTGACGATACTCGATGAATGATGGCAGGAAAAGGAAAAAAAGAACAGTCAAGGATATAAGTAACGGTGAGAATAAAGATAAGAAATTAAGAGTACAAACGGGACTCATTTCAGTTCTGTGTCTAGTAAAATATTGCTTCGTTGGTTCTAGTCATAAGGACCAGACAGAGAGTAGCTAAAGTAAAGATTGCCATACGTACGCTTATTCAATATAGAACCATCGAGGTGATGCTTTATCATAAGAAAACGAATCGGAGTCTGCAATAGCATTGATAGAGTAAAGAACGTAAAAAAACGTTTGGTTATTAGATTTTACAAAAACAAATGACCGGCGCTGACAAGTCGATCAGATCATACAAAACAAGCGTTCAATAAAATCTCATTTCGTGGTTGCTCATTTGGCTGACAGTCGGAGATCATGGGTTCTAGGTCCTACGGTAAATAAATGAGTATCATTTCATACCATGGCGACAAAATGCTACACGGAGTATTGGTACAGAAATATGAAACAAAAGCACCTCGGTCCAGACTGGTGGGTAACGAAACTTATCCCTACACCACCAGCCTCATAAACTCAAAGAAGAAAACGTGCTTGGTGGCCAGATTGAATCATTAGTCCGGAAAATATGAATTCAGGGCGAATCTTTGGAGGAACCTTGCTTAAAGACATGCAAATGGCAAAAATACAACAATTATGGAATAAGCTAGTTTCGTCTGGGTTTACTGAATACATCCATAAGTACCTTCTCAATACTCAAGAATGAAAGAAGAGTTCTCAATCAAATCCAAAAATTTAAATGCTAAATGCTAAATTTAAATTTAAATGCTAAATGCTAAATTTAAATGCTAAATATACCAAGAATTTAGGACAGCTGAAGCTTCATTAAAACAAAAAGAGTAGTTTTCAACCTCTAAGTACAAATTTTCAAATTGTACCTTGTGAATGAAGCATCGCTTCTTACCTAACTGCCGGACTTGGTAGATCGCTCGAAGCACTTCTGCCGGTAGCGACTCATCCTTTGCTGCTGTACGTGGGTAAGTAAGAATGACAGGACTTTGGCCGAGGGAGGTGAATGTAGATGACATTAGCATCCTCGCAGTCCCTGTTGCGGAGCATACGGCCGAGCAGGCCGAAGGTCATTGCGTTATTTTCTTGACTGTCCGTGTAGCTGTCTTCGTCGGGGATGAACGTCCGGATATGGTTCGAGTGGTAGGTGATCAGCCAGCCACTGAGGTTTGGCAGGTAGGTGGCGTTAAAGTCGGACAACGGGGTACCTGGCTGGTCACAACAGTTGTCCCTCAGCGTCTGCACGGCGGTATGCTTCAACCGTTCCGGCTGGTCGCAGTATTCCTCGATGACCACTGCCGTGCCGTGTGAGAACAGTACCCAGGCGTACTTTTTGACGATCAGCTGTGAGAAGGCCCTAATCAGCTGCTCGTGATTGGGCAGCACGGACGAGTGTCGCGAAAATGGGGACCGTCCGCCCTTGGCACTGGCACAGTTGCCCATCGATCGAACTATCGATCTCTGAGGGTCGGCTCAACTCGGCGAAGATATCGGAATGAGGAAGTTGAATCAGACGATTTCCGGGAGCAAAAGATTAGACGCGACACGGAGGACCAAATTAATTACAATGCACGGATGCTGCCTGGGCGGCCACCAGATCGGCCGGTACTGCTCGTTGCTGGTGCCAGTGAACC